TTGTACCCAGTAATAATGCAAGATCTTGTGTTTATATCAGGAATCATGTTAATGCCTTTCCTTTGCTGGAGCTCTGTTCAAGGGATACAGCGGTGGTAAGGATAACATATCCATATCGAGAAGGCAGCAGGGAGCTGATAGTTGCTTCAGTCTACCTTCCATATGACTCGGATGGACCACCACCAACTAAGGAAATGAGGGACATTTGAGAGCCCAAAGGGCCAATGAGCCCCTATCTGCTTATATTACTGACATTAAGGAAATTGCTGCTGTTCTGCATCAGGATGCGGACGAGGCAGTTGTGGTCAGAAATATCCTTGATGGGCTCCACCCTCGGGAAAGAAGTCTGTTAGTTTTTGTGATAAACCTGCCACCTATGCCGAACTAGACAACATGTGCATATATGCACACAATATTTTGATGAGCGACAAGAGTCAGATCATGCAATCCACCCACTCCTATGATTCTTGCCAAGCCTTCTGTGTCTGGTAACCCTACTTCGCAACCTTCCCAAAAGGTTTGTTATCGCTGTAACAAAATTGGGCACATCCGTCAAGAGTGCCGTGTTAAGTTATTGGCATTACCTAGGCAGCATGAGAACCATACAGTTAAGTTTGTAGAAGGAAGCTTGCAATGCGTCTAGATTGTTTTGTGTCCTTCTACAAACTTAAATCTGGTATTGTTTATTCTGGTAAGCACAGGCACTGATGTGTGGTTTAAGATAAGAAGGAATGTCCTCTGATGTGTATATTTACTCCGTGGTATTACCAATGTATATTTTGAGCCATGGACACATACTTTGATGTATTCCTATATACATCCATTTACTTGGAGGTATTAAAGGTGTGTTATTGTACAGTGAATATCACAGAGATATTGGTATATTCATATACAATATATTTAGGTATTGGTGTACACTCTATCTATCTATCTATCTATCTATTATATTATCAAGGGATGATCAAAGTTTTTAGAAATTATTCATTTACACACTATACTTCCGTCCATAATGCAACCTGTTTATTATCTCCCTCTTTTTGCACTGCATTTTGCAGCTGTATATGGCCATCAACAGGTGTCACTATTTGCTAAAACTGTTTCACTGCATAAATTAATAACTATATTTCAGATAATAATCACAGTGTGATAACTGTAAATAATTTCTACTGTACACTGTTTCAGATCTGTCCATAGCTTTACCATATTAAGGCAATGAAATGTCACTTTCCTATTAGACAATTTATTCTAAAGAAATAAAATATCAAAAAAAAAAAAAAGGACACCAATATTTCTCTCCATAATATGCTTAGTGTTACAAAGAGAAACAAGCATGAAATCCAACCAGAATTAACAAACTTCACAAAATCTAACTTCATATAAATTTCATTACATTGTAACATGCCTTATTACAAAGACACAAAGTCATACTGCATGCAACAACAAACTAAAATATCATAATAAAAGACAAGGCTTACATTCGCAAGAAATAGCTGGTATAATAAAGTCTACATTTATCCTGAGTTTGGGTCCTCTTGATGTGTCTACAAACAATTCTTCTGATATTGTAGGTGTCCAGTAGTCTTTAATCTCAAAAGATACAAGCAATACTATTACACACCAACATACTATTGTCACTGTAAAACAAAGAGAAAGAATTATTTCCAAATTGTATAAACACAATAATTTATGCAAGTATTTGTCTTTGGTTAGAAGAGAGGACTCAAAAATATTTAATAATGTGACTAAAATCCTAACATCAGTATCTGATATCATATTTTTAAAGAATCAAAACAAGAGGAAAATTGTGAAATCTGAGGTTCTGGCAACAATGACTGGAATGTAATACCGTGTAGTTTGGGGGTTGCAAATTGTGCTCTGGAAATTTCAAGAAACATGATTTTACCCACTGCTATTCAATTGTGCAACTCTTCCTGCTTCTACATTCTTTTAATGGTGATGTCTACCACATGCTTCGTAAGATATAAACAGAAGAGAGATTTCTAAAAGTGTGAATAATGCTGCACCCTCCTCCTCATGCTGGTTCCTCATTCATGGATTATTCTACCCTGCAGATGGAGGCGATACATTCCTCCAAAATGTTGGTTCACACATGATCTACACGGAGCCACATCCCAAAGACGGCATTCTTCATAGTCACTGCCGAGAAGACCTCAAATCTTACACTCTAAAAGTTTGTTCTGACATAATACATAATGGAAAAAGTTGATAAGCAGGGATACACAGACACATAGACAGCATGTAGTTTGCATAAGCCTGCTTTCGTTTTTTTCAAAATAAGGAAAGAAGCCTAAAAAGGTGTGAAATATGGTGTGGCGTTCACACTGCATTACATCCAAGAATCTGATCTCACAAACCACAGCATCTATCGTATAGTAAGTTATTTTAAGTAACATAAATGGAAACAAAATCTGTATGAAGCTATGTTACGTTATAAGAAAACAAAATCAATAAAATAAAGTCAAACCTTATTAACAAGGAGGACTGTGGAATAAAAAATCATCCCATACTCACAGGAATCATATTCTGCATTTTAACCAACATTTCTCTACAATCAACATGCACACCTGCATTACTTGGAAGCAAATTCCATTTTTATACCAAAATAGGCAACTGATTAAGAGTGACATATATTTTCCTGTGGTCCTGTACACCTGTCACTCAAAAAGGCCTTGAGATACTCACGTGGTTGGATTTATGTTCATGTTCTGTCAAACCCAACATTAATACTGATGAAATTCTAATTTGCAAAGATTCTTGAGGAGACAAATCTGCTCTCCCTCCCTACATATATTAGATGATCATGTTTAGAACCTTAACTCAAAACATAACCATGAGTTTGCACTATTTAAGAAACAAGAAAAGCCTGATATTACAGACGGCCCAGAGACAGCCAGTGTCTCCAGAGTGCTTCCCATATACTGGAATTTAACCTAAATGCCAAGAATAAAAACACTGGATCAAAATTTGGCAGACTGCCATCAGTCACATTTGTACAATACACTGTACTACCTATATACAGAATCTAACCTTACACGTTAAACGTGACAGTCAAACACTATGAACTGTCAGACTGGTAACCAGCACTCTTGTGCAATTTGTAGTTCTCATGGCGGTAAATATACCGGTGACCGTCTTCGGGGATGTAACGGCATGCAGTCGTAGCAGCCAGAGAAACCTCCTCTATGCGTATTCCCACCCTAAAAATGAAGGTTGCGGGTTCCTTCGAAACGTCGGTACTACTCTGCATAACTTCACATCCCAGATGATAGTAATTTTTAACTTGGTCTTCTGTTTACCTGCTGCTCCTCCATAAGTTTTAATTCTAAAATCTTCTAATGTTTTTGGATATGCATCCAAGTAACGTAATCTAAGAAAAATGTCACTGGAATTCATCACAAAAAGAAGAATTAAAACGTTACACTACACACGTCTATCAAACTAAACGGGTATTACATCGATTACATATACATGTCACAGACGTCACAGATCATCGCAGTTTACCGACACACAGATTTGGAACACTTGATGTCAACGAACTGCCATGGTTCCTATACTGTCACTGTACGTCTACGAGGATGGTAGAAACGGTAGCCCAATCGATAAGAGGGTGAACTACTATTCAACCATCACAATTTTAATTCACAATAATAACTAAATAGAAATCATGAAAGAAACTTGACAAAGTACTTACATTTCATGTTGCCATACAGGGCTGTAATCAAAGAAGGTCAGCACCCCTGTACTCTTTTCAGTTCTGAGACACTGCTCTGGGACTTTTTTTCAAAGAAGGTGATGATGAACATAGGAAATGGTTAATAAAAACTATGTTCTTGCTGTTTTTTCTTAAAAAAGATAATTTCACTTCAATAATAGAGTACCTGAGAAGAATATTTTAGAAGCATTTAGTAGAGACTTTACATATCATCCATGGATATGAAGTAAATAAATAAATAAATAAATAGAACAAAATTATAAGAACTTATAGCTTGTCTTTTTTTTACCTCTCAGTTTGATCTGGTAATGTCAGTCTACTTAAGTATATGATTTTCATGAGCTACTTATCGTAAACATCGGCATTAAGAAATGGAAAGCTATCATTACTTAAATTATCAGGAAAACCTCATACTATGAGCCAAGACATTTTCTTCCAATCTGGAATTGCATACAAGATGCCCTAGCACTTTTTAGGCTTACACCCTTGCTGCCATAATATATATGATACTGCCAATCACTGTGTTCAGCACACTGTTAAGACTTCAATTTCTCCTGCATTATCTCACTATTTGTCAAGAAATTATTATACAGTGATTTTGATACATAAATGTAGTGTAAAAAAGAAATATGATTTTTTCAGGAAGTCTGGTTTCATAAGTTCCTGCCACTGAGATAATTCATAATTGTATTTTTTTAGGAATTAAAGATTACAAAAAATATTTTTTTGAACTTTGTAATATTGTATGAGACTAATTAATACATCAGTTCACAAATGTTATTTGTCTGTCTGGCAGCATATACCTTGCTTGTTTGCAGCGCAAAGAAGTATCATTAAACATATTCAGATTGTAGTCTTCTGAACTATAAATAACACTCTGAAGTTCTACATGCGGATACCAATGTTTCAGAGAACATGACGCCTCCATCTTCAGGGACAAAGTGAACACAGTGAGTGTATGGTAGGATGTATAGGCAATGAGATATGGAAAGTGATTACTTGGAACCATGGGACAGGATGAAAAGGGGTATTAGGCACTGTAAAAGAAAAGTGCATTGCTGAAATGGTAGAGTGACATGGAAACGTTTTGTTTTTAAGCAAGGAATATGACTGATGTCCCCCCACAAGAATATGGTTTGAACACATCCAGAAAGCATGGTCATAACATTGTTTTATTGCTGCATTTCTAGCATAAGAGAATGGTAACACTGAAACCGTAAAGATATTTTAATAGGATTTATAGTAAAAGACACTTATTAATATTTATAAATGATATTACAACCCACAGCTAAAGATTTCAATTCTGCTTTGTTCTGAAAAAAAATGTACTTTGTACACGTAGTTGAAGGGATAATTCAGTGTACTGATTTGGCACTATTCCAAGTAAACACCACAAGAGAGGAAATTCTTTTAACAAGGAAGTACATAATTGTGCTTCAGAAATGTATGTGAGAACAATACTGAAGGTTACCCACTTAAGACTCTGAACTGCAAGTAAGGAGTAACAACCGGGTTGCTATATTGCACAGATATTTTAAAATAATTTTAGTATTGTACTAGTGCTTGAACACTGGGCAATGAAATGGAAAGGCAATGAGGACATAACAATAAACTTTTTTTTTTATTGCTAGTGGGGTAGGACTAAGTCCCTTGTACTGCGGCCACTTCTGGCCTATTTTACCAGCCCCAGATGATAGGTGAGGGTGATTGTGGAGCAATTGGTGGGTCCAAGATTGGCAGGGGGAACCGAAGTACTGGGAGAAAACCTGCCCCAGAGCCACTTTGTTCACCACAAATTCCACTTGACCAGACTCGGGATCGAACCCGGGCCACCATGGTGGGAAGCCAGTGACTAACTGCTTGAGCTATGGCGCAGCCTAACAATAAACTAAGTCTACAGTATTCTTAGATAAATCTGCAATGCCTCTTGACCTTCAGGACACATGACATATCACAGAAACTGTGATAGGATAATACAAGTATAAGCTCAGCTATCATGTAGTCTACTAGTAGGAGACAACATGTTAGAATAGAAGTATAGCAAACTCTTGCTAATATGAATTAATTTTGGTGAGGGGGGGGACATCTGGATTAATGAAGCAAAAAGTAGCCCTAAGATACAAGACAAAACAAAACTTAGAACACAATAAGGCCGTAACATAATAAGGCTGTTCTTTCCTGAAGAGGGAGGCAGTACTTTTCTCCGGGAATGTCAGGAACGAACATCAGTCTGATGTACAGAATGTACAACCAATATTACAGTAATATTTAAGACTGTAAATGTATACAGCACATATACTATAACATATTCATTCTGCAGAAAAAACAGAAATGACATTCTAATATCTATGCTCCACAAATTATTTATATTAAAGGAAAACAGAGAAATGGAGCAGAGAAAATACATGTGCCACATAGCAGTGTGGGAAATTTCAAAGTGTGGAGAAGGAAACACCACCAGTGATCAAAGAATTGGTGTAGAAGGTGAGACATATATAAAATGGAGAATAGAGCAAGAATATTACAACAGCCCTCCACTAATCCATATCCTGTATATGACTATATTCTATTCCTTTAAAATCAACTTTTTATATTATCCTCACACCCACACCTAGGTCTTCCTAGTAGTCTCATGAACTTTAAGATAGGCTTTAATTACAGACTATAACAGAGAACTTCATTAAAAGAAAAAACAACTCAGATTTCAACATTCTTAATGTAATCAACATTTTATTTTCTCTTCGTTTTAAGAACAATCTCCTGCTAAAACAAACGAACCATTTATTTACTTGTAGAATGATATGTCATGGTAACATTACATCAGGAAACTAATAACAATGCACTGGATGGTGCGTCTTGGTCTTGGAATAAACTCAATAGTGAATGTTCTTCCTTACCAAAGAAAGGTGAAGAAATTCAGTCATGCAATTCATTTCTCTATTCTAAACATTGAGATGTGCCAATAACAATTACATATGACCTTATGTAAAATGGTTCTTAAAATCTTCTCATCTGAATGAAAGTTGAAAGGGCTTGACAATTGTCTGTAAACTTCTCCTTTACCAAACATAATCACAATCGCTGAATCCGTTCTCAAGCTGTTCCATACGGTCAGACTAGCGGAGAGATTTTAATAGGCGTTCCACATTGGTGGAACATGTCTAAAACAGTTATTGACTTAACTTGAAGTTTGGCGGTGTCTTAATAGAATACTGTATGATGGAAAATAGAGAACTACAGAATGGTGCTGGTTTCAGTTGTGATGTGGAATGTCAGTAATGGAACACAGTGGTGGATGGAAACGGAATATATCGTCACATATAGGGGTTTTCGTGAGTAATAATGGGTCCTGGATTTGATGGTCGGATTTATTTGCACTTCTTTACAATTAACACTCAATTATGAAAGCTCACAACCAATGACTGTCTGCGGATCACTGCCAATTGAATTCTCTGAGCAAAGTCAAAGTCACATTGCGCCATTGCGAATCGGGATCACCATTTCCAGCCGTTCACGTTATTGCATGTTTATTCATTGTAACGGAAACGTGTGTTACGACTTGCTACATAACAACAACTCGTTCGTTGCTGTTCATTGCAGCGGGAACGTGATTACCAAGCCGTTGCTCAGCAATGGACGTCCTCTTTGGATCCATTATTCCGGCTTTTAGGCAGTGTTTACCGATCCGTTGCCTAGCACTGGATTATTATGTGACAATATATTATTCACTCATTCACCTCCGTCTTTAATGCAACTAAAAACTGTTCACAGTCTCTATTTAATTTAAAATAACATTAAAATCACATTATTACTACATGTTTCGGCCTTACTTGGCCATCTTCAGGCAACTGTTGAGTGTTTGAAAACCAATGCACTGCACTAGATCATAAGGCAATATATTTCAGTGCTATTGCATACCGATGTTCACAGTACAATGCGTTTCTCTGAGAATAAAGCTCTGTGTCCGCCTTATTTTCCCCTTTCGGCGTTCATGTTTGTGCCCCTTTGTATGTATGCTCTCACTAGCTGGTCGTATGTCACTTGTATCCCGAAAAAGGAAAATAAGGCTAAGGCCTAGCGCACACATGCAACTTTTAGTTGGCCGATAGTTGGCCGATAGTTGTACACGATCGTGGAGGCCCAACGACTGTCGAGGGATGTACGCACACGTACAATTTTGAGTTGCCCACAACTACGCCAATGAGCAGTCGGTCAGTCACAGCATGGATGTGTACGGTACAGCAGGATGTGCACTGTTGTTAAGATTAAGGAAAAAGGAAGCTGGAATATTGGGTTCAGCCTATTTATAGCGAACGTCTGTTAAAAGGAATTTTTTTCACATTGTGCCATGAACAGAGACAATACCCATCAACAATTTTCAATTACTGCAGAAGGAGTATTGATAGTTTTGATGAATTGTTGCTTCTTCTGAAACCTCATAACTTGTACAACAATACAAGATGGAGACTGGAGTTTAATACTTCTAGAATTATTATTGCAAACACAGAAAAAGTAAAAATGTAAACTAAAGGTATTCCTGTAACAGGCAGTGGAGGCCCGTAGGGTTTTGAGACGTTGAGGTTCCCACATTTTCCAGACAATCGGCTCATAGATGTTGGTAAGTTTGTCAGCCTTTCGCGCCAGGCGCCCATTTCCGCCAAGAACATTCCAAGAGTATTCCTGGTACTCATTTCTGTTAGAGGCTGAATCGACCCCAGGGCCATAGTGTGGCTGGAAGGACTGGGTAAATTGAAAAAAATCCAATGACCTCATCGGGATTCGATCCCGCGACCTTCCGGCATGTAGCATAGTGCCTCAACCAACTACGCTACAGCGTGCCCTCTCACATAAGAGTGAGTTTGTTAGTTCATGTGAGCTACATTCTATTACTCAAACATCTTCGACTTTTCTGCGCGCACTTGCTTGTTGCTATGGTTACACAGAAGCTAAAGCGTTCCTTTACCTTTCATGAAAAGCTAGCGCCAGAGTGCAACAAGCAAGGGTTGGGGTGGGAATGAGATCCCCGATAGCGCATGGCTGTGCTGCTCGAGAGGACCAACAAGAATTCCATCTATTGCATCCACTGCGACCCTGCTCACAAGTCTTGGACTTCATACTGCATCCGTTATGCTCATCTTATAATATTTATTGTGCTGTGTATATTACACGATTGCACCGTTAAATCAACCATTATTAAATACACGAACCTACAAATGTAAATCTAATGTATCTTACTGTGGATTGTACGTCCAGTAAGCAATGATTACGTACATGACGATATCCCAACACGTGCTTTTTGCAACCAGCGAAGAATGACGTATAGGTAGGCCATAGGAACATTCCGAATTATCATACAAAAGAGGATATTTTTAGATTCGGAGTGCGCAGCTGGACGAATGTTAAGTGACATATCGCTATGGAAACATAGGGAATAACATAGAACAGCAACGATATACACCGTGTGTGGTCGTAACTTGAAGCTACATTACGCCTCGACCTCACCTTGTAGTTCTGTGTTACCATCAGGCGCATGAAGAGTCCGTATGGCAAGCTACACTCCACTCTTGTTCCACAGAAAACCCTCTCAGCTCTATCACCATCGTGCGCCAGGACGCGATGTTGAAGATGACTTGGTGTCGCTGTGCTCGGTGGTAGATGTCACCCTTCCCAGGATAACGCCCCGTGACGTGAAAAGACGAGATATTCAGCTGAGGAAGATAGAGAGGCCCAATGACAGCATTTCGGTAAGTGTCCATTTGTCCTCTTCATCAAATATAACCTATAGCATTGGAGATGGGAAGTGCACACATAATTTTAGCTGGAAATTAAACCAATTAGGAGAATTACATGAAGACTGAAGGATGCTATTAAAGTGGATCTTAAAATCTAGGGTATATTGCGTGAGTTCAACTGACTCAGGACACTCCAGTAGAGGGTTCTTATGAACGAGGACTAAAAGATTATTTTAGGTTCCTTAAAAAGCTTTTAATTTCTTGATAAGATGAGCGATTGTCACTTTCTAATTAATAAATCTGATCCACCGACTTAATTATTGGGTTTTGGTTTGTTACACTGAGAAACAACACACGGATGACGTATTGCTAAATGGAAATAAATGACAGAATAAATTAATACTAATGGCTTGATTAGTAGCAGCAATGTAAACATGAATCAATTATTGTCATTCAACCAATGCTCCACACTCGTCTATTATAAGGGTCTGATGATTAACTGTCCTAACACTGAGTTCTCGCTTGAAAGAAACCGCCCTGTAGAATATTTGTAAATTACAGTACTAAGGTATTCAATCTCTTCCCATTCCTAATTTAATAACTATTGCACATAACAGATATTCATAAAACACGAAAATAGAAGTGGTCTGAATAAAGCAAGTAGTTACTGGACGCGAATTATTATTGAGTAAATGAAGTAAAATGTAAGAAGCAAATAACTTGGAGTAATGTAGCAGTATTGCGTTTAACGTATGCCCAATTGAAGAAGAAAATATAGAAATTCTTCTATAAAGTTCACTGCTCTTGAGTGCAACAGAGAGATGTCCAGAACTTTAAGAGCACATCGGAAAGTGCAAGCTCATCTTGTCGAGTGCTCAGGTTGGGCAGTCTGCAGATACATCGATTTAACTTCGTAACAGAGTTTATTGTTAGTTCAACGACCCCGTGAACTCACAGACATTTGAAAATGACGATACTATATTCTAATGGACTTCTATCTGTTAATGCTCGTTAGAATTCACTACATGCCCATAAAATTACAATTTGCAAACATGAAAGAGCGCAATATCTAGGCCTCGAGAGCTGAGGTTTAAGAAAATTATACTGAAAAAAAAATCCTCTGGTAGGGCCTAGAATTAATGAAATTTATTACAAAAAGATCACGTAAATACAACATAAGAATATAACCTAAATAATCAGGGCCAGTGGCTTTTAACTAGGAAAACGAGAGGTATTAAAAACACGCGCAGAATATACAATCAATAAAGAATGAAGAAGACTTTCAAGTCATTAAAAATCAGTCCTTAGAAAACTAAAGGACAAGATCAGTAGATTTTAAACGGTTCTATCAATGGTGTATAACACACAGAATTACAGGGTTTTTGGACTCTGCCCATCGTCCGGTATTCTAGAAAATATTTTGGACTTTTTCAATCATTCGATATTCCAGAAAATATTTCGGACTTTTTTTCATCGTTCAGTACTCTAGAAAATATTTTCTAGAATATCGGAAAATGGGAAAAGTCCAAAAAGCCAACAATTCTGTGTGACAAGATCAGTGTTTCCATAAAGGGGTGACTGAAGAGGATATTTGTGATAATCGTTTCAAAAAGTGTATGGTTCTCTCTGTGAAGCGAAGACACGATGCCCGTATGCTAGGAGATTTAGTAGCATCTACATTTTATACAGTCTAAAACTTCAGATAAATGGAAATTACAACTTCTTTATGAAGACCGTCATAACACAACTACATCAAGATCAGTGTCAAGTTTGACTCTGCTACATGTTTCGGCTATTAATAGCCATCATCAGGCAAATACATGGCTAATATATACACCACTGAACTGCAGTATCAATAAAATTGGATACAATAATATCAACTATATTAAAATACTTGACGTAAAAATACAATAAATAGGTTATATAAAACAAAAGTTATAGTATAAAACAAGAATAAAATTCTTCAATTTATGCTTTACATCATCGAATCAGTCGTTGTTTCGGGGGAAAAAAAATGTGTAAATTAGATGAGTGATTGTATTCGCTGTTCATTATTTCAATGATTTTTTACTTGCATACACAATAAATGTAAATAAATACTGCATAAACCATATTATTGTTATGGATTAATTTAAATAATTTAAATTCCAAATCAAATTCCATAAATCGTTTATAGTTCTTACCTACTAACCCTTTCCACCTAATTCAAAATTGCACCATTGTATTGGAATTCTATCACATTCCTCAAGAAAGAACTTTCTTCCTTTATCTTGTACTAAAATTAAGAAATTTCCTTGTATCAGCTTATTTTTATATCATGGAATCATCTCCTAAACCTTCAAAGAAACGTCATCATTCTTCGGATAATTTTCTCTTCCTCATATGAGTTATAAAATATTTTATAACTCATATGAGCGTACATCTGTGTACAATTTATTTATTCAGCTTCACAATACACTTAACAATTAACCCCAAATTATTTATAAGACTTATGATTATGGGCGTTTTACTAACTGTATTTATTTCGAGAATAAGATTCTTAGTGTAAAGGAAATATTAAACACATGAAATTTGTTTCAGGGTGTTATAGCATACGTCAAGTTGCGTGCGCACTGAACGAACATTACGCCGTTTTTTAATTTGTAGTTTATGTTGTCCTTTTTACTATGACCACAGTTCGAAAGACAACGGTACCCGCTGGTCAGTGTCTCACTGTCAAACGTGTATATAGTTACTTTTTACATACTATAGCAGGGGTACACACACACACACACAGCTTCGTAATTTCCAATAATACAAGAAATTCCAGCAAAAGTGATTTAAAAATTCTCTTCACCATACTTTTATAAGCCTTGTTGGTGCTAAAATGATAATTTATTGTAGACAAAGGAAATTTAGTGCACACGAAACTAGACCTAGATCAAATTCTTAAGGCGAACGCCTGCAATATCTCTCGCATGAAATTCAAATTCCCGCTGATTTTAATTAAACTCATTAATCTCGACACCACGTGGGCACCATTTATATAGATGATGTCTATAGAAATGGTGCCCACATCCACGTGAGGATCGCAGAAGGGGGATTGGATCAAGTTCTTGTCCAGAGACGGACTTCGGTCTTGGCAGTGTTGAGCTTAAGAGTTCTGCAATTACAATGTTAATTAATTTTTACAATAACGCAAATATAATTTATATATTTTCAGCTTTTCAATTTACTGACTGTTTCTCGATTTCTCAGAAGTTATCTGCGCTCAAACACAAACATCTTATTTTATAGGGGTGCACCCGCACTGTGTAAGTAGATGAGACAACTTTTTTCTCAGTCACATAAATAAGACTGGCTAATATAATGGGGTGGGGTGAGGTAGGGTGAGACTGAGGCCACTTGGTACGTCGGCTACTAATTGGCCTATTGCACCAGATAATTTTTTTTTCTTGACACTACAGCCCCAGTGGGCCTAGGCCTACCTCCATGAACTCCGTTCACTTCGGTTTTTCTAGATCTTACACATACGGTAGGACTCCTTGGGCGGATGATCAGCTCGTCGCAAGGCCTCTACCTGTAGACAAACACAGAAAAACGCACACAAACATCCATGCCCTGAGTGGGATTCGAACCCACGATCCCGGCTTCCGAAAGAGAGAAGACAGTGCATGCCTTAGACCGCTCGGCTACCGTGACCAGCGCACCAGATGATAGATGATGATAAATGTGGAACAGTCGGTGGAATGAGAATTAACAGGAGAAACTGAAGTACTCGAAAAAAACCAGCCCAGGTGCCTCTTTGTCCACCACAAATCCCACATGACCTGACCCGGGCTCGAACCCGGGCTGCTGCAGTAGGAAGCCGGCGACTAAGCGCCTGAGCTATGGCACGGCCAAAGAATGTCTTACTCCAAATGTCTTCGAACAAGTGTGTTTTCAGTTTTCTTACTGTCTAGTGACTTAAGTATAATGTTTATTTCTCTGTGTCCCGTGCGCGTGTTTGCCACTCGTCAGTTTTCATATGTTGTGAATAGTACAAGGCAATAGGTAAGTTTGGCCGGTGCTACTGATCAAAGTTTGAATCAGAATTCGTTATAAACTTAAACCCTCATATGGAAAAAAAATTCTATCGAAATTTCCCGAAATACCTCGGGTTGCCGATAGTGTGGGTCTTCATTCTGCCTCCCGACGTCCGCGTAATAAAGGAGTTTTATTCTGCTTCTCATTTCGAGACACAGCCGTCGGAACATAAGCAGCTGCTGACATCTGGCGTCTCACAGATTCTTTACGTCTTGTAACAGAAAGTGAAATTAATTACAATTTGTATTCCACCTGTCACAATTTCCCTTTGCAAAAACAAAAAAAAACAACAACCGTGTTTCATTCCAATTTATATTTCCATAACGTTAGATGTATTTCGAAACATCGACGGATCACGCACACTTATACGTGGCTAGATTAAAATGTGTCTGTTTAATCACGACAAGAACTGAGTCTTTTCTGGTTTTTATTCATTTCATTTTCGCATATTGAACAACAGACGCCCATATATTTTCTTGGTGTTATCCAAATTTGGGTATTTAAATATATCTACACAAATGAAAAGCACAAATATCTTCATACAAACTTACAATTAGCAATGATCTTCATTTCAAATTTTAGAAGATCTGAAGCTGCATATGTGAATCTATGTATATACTCGTAGAATATTAATTATCATTTAAATAGCGTTTTTATTACATTGAAAGTTGGAAATATTAATAGATTTTATGGTAATGTCAAACTGTCTAGGTTACAATGTATATGCCTTATAATACGAAAGAACAGCTGTATAATGAAACAAATAAAAGTAAAGGTAAAGCTCTCCCTGTAAAAGGCCGTGGAGGTCCATAAGGTTGTGAGATATTGAGGGTCCCACATTTTCTAGACAATCGGCTCATAGATGACGGTAAGATTGTCAGCCTTGCGCGACGGCCGCCCTTTACCCCCAA